CCTCAGAATTTCAGTATCTCAGAATCTCAGAATCTCAGAATTTCCAAATCTCAGATACTCAGAATCTCAGAATCTCAGAATTTCAAAATCTCAGATACTCAGAATCTCAGAATCTCAGAATCTTAGAATTTCAGAATCTCAGAATCTCAGAATCTCAGAATCTCAGAATCTCAGAATCTCAGAATCTCAGAATTTCAAAATCTCAGATACTCAGAATCTCAGAATCTCAGGATTTCAGAATTTCAGAATCTCAAAATCTTAGAATCTCAGAATTTCAGAATCTTAGAATCTTAGAATCTCAGAATCTCATAATCTCAGAATTTCAGTATCTCAGAATCTCAGAATCTCAGAATTTCCAAATCTCAGATACTCAGAATCTCAGAATTTCAGAATCTCAGAATCTCAAAATCTTAGAATCTCAGAATTTCAGAATCTCAGGATTTCAGAATTTCAGAATCTCAAAATCTTAGAATCTCAGAATCTCATAATCTCAGAATTTCAGTATCTCAGAATCTCAGAATCTCAGAATTTCCATATCTCAGATACTCAGAATCTCAGAATTTCAGAATCTCAGAATCTCAAAATCTTAGAATCTCAGAATTTCAGAATCTCAGGATTTCAGAATTTCAGAATCTCAAAATCTTAGAATCTCAGAATTTCAGAATCTCAGAATCTTAGAATCTCAGAATTTCAGAATCTCAGAATCTCAGAAACTCAGAATCTCAGAATCTCAGAATCTCAGAATCTCAGAATTTCAGTATCTCAGAATCTCAGAACCTCAGGATTTCCAAATCTCAGATACTCAGAATCTCAGAATTTCAGAATTTCAGAATTTCAGAATCTCAGAATCTCAGAATTTCAGAATCTCAGAATCTCAGAAACTCAGAATCTCAGAATCTCAGAATCTCAGAATCTCAGAATTTCAGTATCTCAGAATCTCAGAACCTCAGGATTTCCAAATCTCAGATACTCAGAATCTCAGAATTTCAGAATTTCAGAATTTCAGAATCTCAGAATCTCAGAATTTCAGAATCTCAGAATCTCAGAATCTCAGGGTCTCAGAATATTAATACTTCATAATTTTAGAATTTCCTGTTTCAGGAAGTTCAGAATCTCAGAATTCCCATAAAAACTACAAAATGACGTGATTTTTTCTGTTCGATTTCTACATTGAAAAAATTGAATTTCCATGAAATTGGCTCCAAAAATCAATTGAATTATCTTCAAAAGGAGAGAGAAATGACCTAATTATGGTGACCTACTGACCTAGATTCTATTATCTAGGTCACGATAATTCAATTTTTTCAGAGAATTTTCGATTTTAAAATTCGAAAAAAAAATTTTGGCGCTTGGAAGGAAAGGGATTTAGATTTTTTAATTTCTGAAATTCAGAAAATCCAAAAATTCGAAAAAAAATTTTTAACTTTTGGGAACTTTCATATTGCCTGGAAAGGTTTTGAAACTGATACAAATCATTTTTAGATGTTTGATTTCACTTTTTTTCCTATTCTTCGGAAAAAATTCTGTGAAATGACACAAACAAAGATGGCGTCGTCGGTCAATTTTGTGTTGATATGATATCACAAAAAAAGTAAGCTGTGTAATTTTTTTTTATTTTTCTACTGTACCAACCCCCTTCTTATCAGTCAGTCTTCTATCAATTTGATCAGTTAGTTCTTTTTTATTTTTCATTTCATTCTGTCGAAAAAAGAAAAAATGAACTTCTTCAAAGTAAGATTAATTTTTTTCTTTATACAGTAATCCAAAAAAAAATGAATTTTCAAAATTTAGAATCTTATGTATGCGAAAACCTAGCTGGCTCTATAAACTGAAAATTCTGGAATTTCCAACAATCCTTATTTTTCAAAACGTTGAAAAAAAATTTGAAAACCAGCTTTGCTCAAAAAGTTGGCCTAGTTTTGCCTAGCTGGGATTACTGTAGGATTACTGTATGTATGTACAGTAATCCTAGAGTTACCATGAATGAAAGCCATATAGTAACACAGGACAACTATAGAACATTACGTCTACAGTAATCTTCATAATACCAGATTACAATATATTACTGTAGACTACTGGAAGTTTCGGCTAATTGAAATTATAATTTCAGATCACTTTCTTCCTTGCCCTTATCGTCGGAGCCATTTTTGCTGCTCCATCCAGTAAGTTGAGAAATTGAACAATTTCAGAAAATTCTGAAATCTCTGAAAATCCCATTTTCAGAGAAATGTGCTGAAAACGAGGAGTTCAAAGAGTGTGGGACCGCTTGTGAGGCTAATTGTGCTGATGGACACGTGGTAAGAATTCTAAACTTTGGAGATTCTGAAATTTTAAGATTCTCAGATTCTGAAATTTTGCAAAAATCCATTTTTCAGATGTTCTGCACAATGCAGTGCATCGTCAACGTTTGCCAGTGCAAAAATGGCTTCTTCCGAAACAAGGACAAGAAATGCGTTCCAAAAAATAAGTGCTAACTTCCGGAACAATTTTCACTACCTTTTTTCTATACTACCAATTTTCATGCCGTTTAAAGTTATACGAATTTTATGAAGTTTCTAATAAATCAAATTTGCTATCATCCTTATCATTACTAATAACATTCACCAAATTCTGTATGCTGGTATGTACACACTTAAAGTTCTATCACCTCCGCTGCGGTGATCTATCACCTCCGCTACGGTGATCCGTGGTGTAGTGGTTAACGCGCTGCGCTTACACAGGTGATTCGTGATTGACCAATTACAGAAGAAGGGCTATAATCGACCAATTACAGGGTGGGGAATAATTATAGCGCCCAAACTTTGCGCAAGCTCTGGCGCCAGCAACACGGTCTGATTTGCACACCCTAGTATTTTTTCACTTCATTTTTTTTGTTTTAAATTCTTTCTGAAAAATTCATGCAATTATTTCAACTTTGAAGGTAATGGTGACCGTTTTTCCATACCACACTCCTAGTATGGAGCGCGCGAAAAAGGGGTGAGAACTTTGAAGATTGCTAAAAAACTTTCAGGAAATCAGTGGTCAATCAGAAACTCGTTCGGTTTAGAGAATTGGGAATTTTCAATAATATAAGAAAAAGCGGTCATCTGATGTTTGGAACGGCTCCTGGAGTCGTCAAAGCCGTGAGAGAGAAAATCAGTAGGGGTCGTAGTTTAGAATGCTCCGCAAATCAATGAGAAACATTTTCCGAAAACAGCTCCATATGATTCCATATAGAACCCAAAAAGGCGCTTTCCTAACGGACCGTAACAAAGGGTTAAAACTAGAAAAATCCAAAAATCTCCTTCGAGGCACGCCCTTCGGCACGCACTTGAAGACCGTTTTTTATAGATGAAGTTGTTCACTGTTCAGGCAAACAAGACTGACCAGAACAATTGAATCGGGGCTATCGATTATTATAGTGCATGTAGGAGATGAAAAACCCAGAATAAGACATCTCACCCGGCCACGGTGAACGTATTTGGTGAGATATGCTCAAATGGTAACATTTTGTCGATTGTGGAGCCAAGATCAACAAAAATCCTACATCGAACGAATGTTGAAGTCGGAGGTGCTGCCCCAGTCCCAATCACGTCTTGTGAACAAAAATTGACCATTCTATCAGTACGGAGTGCCTGCACACACTGCAAGTGGTTCCAAGCCAATTTTCCGGATTTTCTCACTAAGGATCGATGGTCAGCTTCCAGTCCGGTACTCAATCCAACGAATTTTTTGTTTTGGGAATATTGGACCCAATGAGTCTCCACAAAAATTTATCCTAATTTGGAAGCCCTGAAAAGATCCTTGACCGCGGCATGGGACAATTTGGACGTCAACTACCCCCGTGCCGTAGTCGACTACTTCTTGAAGAGACTTCGATCTGTTATCGGAGCGAACGGAGGAAGGCTCAGAAATTGTTAATGCCATCTTTTTTGTTGTCTCTTAATGAACATCTTGACCGAATTTGGGAAAAAATCTTTTGGTTTGAGGTTTCTACACCGTCTTGAAAGCGGCGCTATATTTATTCCCCACCCTGTACTTATCTACCGCGAACGAGAGGTTCTACAATTGACCATTCGCGAGCAAAATGCGTATCTTACTAACTGGCCCCATAAAAGGTCCACAATTGAACTATCGCGAAGAAATTCTTGTTTTTTATTTTCCGAACTTCTTTTTCTTATTTTGGATACTTTACTTCTTTTTTCGCCGTTTTCTTCGCAGTTTTTGTTCGGAATCTATTAATTAACATATAATACTATACTAGAATACTGTATAACCATGAATGTTTGTTTGCAGAAAAATAGAGAAAATGGCCGGAAGACAAAAGTCGGAAGCAAGAAGCCGAAATTTCGAAAAACTCTGGAAGAAGCTTTGCTTCTGTACTTTCAAAAGGTAAGAAGCGTTCAGAAAATCCGAATTTTCAATCTAACTTTTACAGGGTGCCAGAAAATCTCAATTTCCCTGTATGTCGACTGGGCACTCCGGAAAAATGCAACTGAGAATGAGGAAGGAAAAAGTTCTGGAACAGTGGGTAAATTTGAAAACGAATATCAGAGAAAAAAGTTGATTGCAGACGGAAGTGTTAAGTTCGCGGATTTCGACAAAAAATTTCCAGTCGATAACTTGTGTCAGAGGTATAGTACAAAAAGAATTGGGAGCTTAAAATCTAGATAATTCATTTCAGTTACTTCGAAACAACAATAAACATCATCTTCTGCTCATCGTCATCGACTGAGGCAAAAATGGACAAAACGAGAAGCTCCGATGCCGTTTCAGCCAGTTCGACAACAGCGGAAGAGAATAATATAACTTTTAATTAAAGGGGGACTCCGACCAAAAATTTTTATTGCATTAAAATGTGTTAAAAGTTATATATTTTCCGAATATTATTGCGAAAAAATTCAAAAAAAATCCGAAATTCCCAAAAAACGGCGTTGAAAAGGAAGAGAATGCCACGTAGGAAAGGCGCCCGCTGCCGTGGCCTAGGTTTCTCACTGAAAATCCTCGTCCCCCGGCGGCACCTTTTTTTGAATTTTCTTCCTTTTCAACGCCGTTTTTCGGGGATTTCGGATTTTTTTTTTTGAATTTTTTCGCAATAATATTCGGAAAATAGATAACTTTTAACACATTTTAATGCAATAAAAATTTTTGGTCGGAGTCCCCCTTTAATTGTTTTTTCGCTTTTCATTGTTTTTTTCTGTGTAATAAACAATTTTTAGCAGCTGCTAGCTTCCAAATTCGAAAAAATATAGTTCAATTATTGTTCTCGCGGCAAGCCAATTGTAGGAGATTTGCTCGCGATAGGGCGAATATTGGTCGTTTGCGAAGGCGCGTTCGCGATGGGTCTGTAAATGGCCTGCGGCAGGCATGTTCCGATGTACCCATGGCGATTTTCCGCGAACAATATTCCACCTATTATAGACGCTGTGCGAATCACCTGTGTATGTTCGTGCAAAGCGGGTTCGAGTCCGACTGGTGGAAATTATTTTTTTGGTTTTTTTGTACAGAGTTCATAAATGAGAATAATCCTGGATTTTTTAAATCAGTTCGAATGAAATCCTAGCAAAGAGTTCCCCAGTTTCATTTGTTTCAAGTCGAAAGAATGATTAGATTGAGATTTGAGGCTTTTAGTGTTGTTTTGTGTCATCAGACAGTTTCGGATAACAATTTGGTACAAAAATCGGTATATGCAGTAACTTTCAAACAGGAAACGAAATAATTATTTTCGAAGGGGCCATCTTTTTATAGAATTTGACAGATTTTGAAAGTAAAAATTGAAGCGTCATTTTAACGTGATGAAAAAAAAAATAATAAAAAAATAAATTCTAGACGAAAAGAACTACGTGAATTGGTTTAAAAACACATGACCCAAGATGACCTCAGGGAGATAAGATCACTATAAGGAAGAGAAAAGTAGAGGACGAATCAGTTATCCCTTCTCTGGGGCTCCAGAGAGGGGACCGGAGAAGGGATCCGATTCCGGATTTCTGAATCCGGATTTCTGGATCCGGATTTCTGAATCCGGATTTCTGAATCCGGATTTCTGGATCCGGATTCCTGGGTCCGGATTCCGGATTCCTGTGTCCGGATTCCGGATTTTTGGGTCCGGATTCCTGGGTCCGAGATTCTGAGATTTTGAGATTCTAAGATTCTGAGATTCTGAGATTCTGAGATTCTGAGATTCTGAGATTCTGAGATTCTGAGATTCTGAGATTCTGAGATTCTGAGATTCTGAGATTCTGAGATTCTGAGATTCTGAGATTCTGAGATTCTGAGATTCTGAGATTCTGAGATTCTGAGATTCTGAGATTCTGAGATTCTGAGATTCTGAGATTCTGAGATTCTGAGATTCTGAGATTCTGAGATTCTGAGATTCTGAGATTCTGAGATTTTGAGATTCTGAGATTCTGAGATTCTGAGATTCTGAGATTCTGAGATTCTGAGATTCTTCTGAAATTCTGAGATTCTGAGATTCTGAGATTCTGAGATTCTGAGATTTTGAAATTCTGAGATTCTGAGATTCTGAGTATCTGAGATTTGGAAATTCTGAGATTCTGAGATTCTGAGATACTGAAATTCTGAGATTCTGAGATTCTGAGTTTCTGAGATTCTGAGATTCTGAGTTTCTGAGATTCTGAGATTCTGAAATTCTGAGATTCTAAGATTCTGAGATTCTGAAATTCTGAGATTCTAAGATTTTGAGATTCTGAGATTCTGAAATTCTGAGATTCTGAGTATCTGAGATTTGGAAATTCTGAGATTCTGAGATTCTGAGATACTGAAATTCTGAGATTCTGAGATTCTGAGTTTCTGAGATGCTGAGATTCTGAGTTTCTGAGATTCTGAGATTCTGAAATTCTGAGATTCTAAGATTCTGAGATTCTGAAATTCTGAGATTCTAAGATTTTGAGATTCTGAAATTCTGAAATCCTGAGATTCTGAAATTCTGAGATTCTAAGATTTTGAGATTCTGAGATTCTGAAATTCTGAGATTCTGAGTATCTGAGATTTGGAAATTCTGAGTTCTGAGATTCTGAGATACTGAAATTCTGAGATTATGAGATTCTGAGATTCTAAGATTCTAAGATTCTGAAATTCTGAGATTCTAAGATTTTGAGATTCTGAAATTCTGAAATCCTGAGATTCTGAAATTCTGAAATCCTGAGATTCTGAAATTCTGAGATCCTAAGATTTTGAGATTCTGAGATTCTGAAATTCTGAGATTCTGAGTATATGAGATTTGGAAATTCTGAGATTCTGAGATTCTGAGATACTGAAATTCTGAGATTATGAGATTCTGAGATTCTAAGATTCTAAGATTCTGAAATTCTGAGATTCTAAGATTTTGAGATTCTGAAATTCTGAAATCCTGAGATTCTGAAATTCTGAGATTCTAAAATTTTGAGGTTCTGAGATTCTGAGATTCTGAGATTCTGAGATTCTGAGATTCTGAAATTCTAAGATTCTGAGATTCTGAGATTCTGAGTATCTGAGATTTTGAAATTCTGAGATTCTGAGATTCTGAGATTCTGAGATTCTGAGATTCTGAGATTCCGAGATTCTGAGATTCTGAGATTCTGAAATTCTAAGATTCTGAGATTCTGAGTATCTGAGATTTGGAAATTCTGAGATTCTGAGATTCTGAGATACTGAAATTCTGAGATTCTGAGATTCTGAAATTCTGAGATTCTAAGATTTTGAG